AGCTCAATGTTAGCCTTTAGCCTTTTTTTTTACCCGATATTAGAGTAAAAACAAAAAGATGCAGTGGCTTCTTAAGGGTGCAAGAAATAACATCTGGGTCGTTCTTGTTTACTGGCTTCAGTTCTTTAAACAACTCTGGAGCTTTTTGCCTGCCGGTGTCGTCTTACAAATGCTGGCGCTGCAGCGTTAGCTCGGCACAGACTCTGCAACTCCATGGGCTCATAGATTGTAAACAAAGACCTCGGCCCTTTTTTGTTATTTTGAAAGGACTAAACTGACAACCCGTCAGGCAGCTGGGAAGAAAATCTGTTTCAGTATAACCTTCCTTCCAACATAACTGAGACATTAGACTGTTTTGTGATTGTTTCACTATAGAATTCTTACATGTTGCTCCTTTAAAATTGGTTTTACAGAATTTAAATGGTATTCGCTTAGAGTCATTCACAACACATACAACATACATATTAACCAGTTTCTTGAAATAACACATACATTTTACCAAACTGAGTTTAATTAAATATTTTATCAACCGTTAGGGATTTTCTTAATCACCTTATACCTGCAGGGAAAAGCGGGAGAGAGAGAGACGAATTACCACACAAGTTACTGTTTGCAATCAGGGCAGATGTTCAAGTAAAAGCTTGAGGCACACACTGCAAAGAGTATCTGCCCTTCAAGTTTATTTATAACATGGGATAAGAAGATGTGTGTGTGTGTGTGTGCGTGCGTGCATGCGTTTGTGTGTGTGTGTGTGTGTGTGTGTGTGTGTGTGTGTGTGTGTGTGTGTGTGTGTGTGTGTGTGTGTGTGTGTGTGTGTGTATGTGTGTGGTTACAGGAATGTGTGGGTGTGTCTGAATGAACGAGAATGCTTTCAGGCATAGAGTAATACATTCTGTTAATAGGATTAATGATCAAGAAATAATAAAACGTAAAATTTCTATGACATCAACCTAAGAAGATCTTAAATTTTAACTTCAGAATGGAAGTACATAATAACTACAGACTCATTATACGGTTATGCTTAGTAACTAAGTATTCAATTTTATAGTCTCACATTTAAATAAATGCAGCTTAAATGTTTTAAACAAAAATTGTAAAGTCAAGTATGCAATTCAAAATGAAAAATCAATTAACATTAAAACTGACTAAACCAGGCTGAAAAACTGACATTAAATATAAGTTCAATGCAAGATAACAGAAATTAAATACCTAAAATTGATTCAGTTGTACAAAAGAGATACCAAACACACAAGCAAAAGCCAAAACCAATAAAAGACCATTATATATTATATATTAAGTTTGAGGTAAAAAAAATGAGTAGATCTTCTATGTATATAAGTTACGTACTCATGGATGTTTTGACGTATTGCCATCATAACAACTAGTTGCTGTAATTGTCTTCTAGGGAGGCCTTCTAAGAAATAGAAGCTGTTCCCGTAATGACTCATCCCTTTAAATCAAGAAGAGAAAAACGTAAAGGGCCCTGTAAAAAAAATGTTTTAATGATTTAGATTTTTCCTTTTCAAGAAGGAGGGTGAATAGCATAAAAAAGAGGATTCTTTTAAAATTCAAACACTATTTTGCAGCATGGGAATAATTGAGTATAAGCTCCTGTATTCATTGTATAGGGCAAGGCAAGTCAGCTTTATCTATACAGCACATTTCATACAAAGAGGCAATTCAGTGTGCTTTATAAAGCATAAAGTATGCCACACACTCGCTCATCCAAAACACACAAACTTTATGATTTCAGTTCGGGTGGATCAGCCACCAAATTGCCAATCCGTGTTTCAACTTCTTATTTCTCTTGCTGGATGGAAGCAAACGTCATTGAAGAGACCAAGGCCGTTCACTCCAATTTTCCGAGAACTCCTCCAACTTAATTGGTCAAGCTCTTATCCCCCCAGCCCACCTCAGCTTAGCCCTGAAGGAGATTTTCTCCTCCTTTTCCTCTGTCTTCATTTCCTCCCATCCTCTCTCCTCCCTCCACCCCACATGCTGTAATCGGAAGAGACTGATGGGGAAAGGGAAAGAGTTACGCTCGCTTTCTCCGTCTGTGCTCATCCGCCCCTCAGGCAGGAGACACACACTGCTGGCTAGTGGGTTAATGAATGTTGTGTTAATTTTCACGCTTATCAATCACTGCATGTGTAGGTGTCATTTTGACATGTCTTCTCATCTGCCGTTGTTGATGATGTTGTTTGTTTCCACGCTGTGTGATTGTACCTGAGTCATATTGCATAGATGCAGGAAAATGGGAGCCAAAGGTGGAATCTGAAATGTGTGTGTGTATGAGAGCGTGTGTGTGTGAGATAACACCCGAAACATTGATGAGTTAGACTGAAGCGATGTTGGGTTGGATTGGATGGGTGATGGGTGATAGGATTGGATGGTGGTGTTTAGTTTTGATCACTTTTAATCCTTTCTGTTTTCCCCTCTACTTCCCCCCAAAAGCACACGTCCAGTATTGCAACATTTACCTTTCGTTTGAATGGCTCCATTTCCATATTTAGGCAATCAGAAAAGCCATTAACATTTTCCAGTTTTATGGCAATGAGGAAATGTTTTGTGCAGAAACAGAGTGTTCATTTAGAAGCCCAGCGGGCAACAAACACTACGCATCCACAACACCACACCACACCCGCCCGTCCCGAGTCTGGCAGGAGACATGATGTACTGCCATGGGGACCTTCATTCCTGTATGGCTCATCTCAGTGTGTAGCCCAAGCGATTATGCATTTGCTGGCCAGCCTTAAAAAAATCACATAGGATGAATAACTAATTAGCTGGCTCACAGATGAAGGCAGCATTTAACGCCAACTGTTCCATGATTGTGGAGGTGTATGTTTAAGAATAGTTGAGCAGCTCTTATGAGAAACGTCTCTCTGCATGAGAGATAACTTCTTAATGCACTGAAATGGATTACTTAGGATGAATCCAACACCTACAATGAGTCAGACTCTCATCCAAACTTTATACATTCTCCTTAAAGCAGAATTTGTTTTATATACACAAGTTTAAGAGACTTGGAGATTGCTGTTATTGATTGAGGACATAATTCATGTAATTCAAAAGGGTTTTGTTATACTTTACACTTCCAATTAGTGTCTGAAAGGCAACAAGTTCCGGAGCCCTAAAGTGACTTGATCAATGTTAGAACTCTTTGTAGTTACCTTCACTCTGAGCTAGCCTCAACGTGAGCGCCAGTTTCTGGGACTCATGTCAGCTAAAGCTCTCACATTGTTCCATTTACAAAAAACATGAAGACAGAAATCCAAGAAATAAAAAAAGTTGCAGGAAAAATGTGTTTAATCTCGAAAGGGAGCAGACAGTACAAGAAGTCAGATGCACATACAATATGCCAAATGATGTGCAGCTCTCCAGAGCAGGAGAAACAGTAAAAGTTACAATTGGAGCTCCAAAAGAGAGATTGCATGTCACAAAAGATGTGCTTTGTGGTAATGGAGGAGTTATGAGAGCTCATGAAATGATTCACTTGTGAATTCATGCTCAAGTAGTAATCAGATGGCACCCGCATGGCTTTTTTTTAACTATAAAATTTTTTTTAAAGTGTCCTCACATATTGACTCCCCCAGGAGGACTTAAAGTAGAAGCATTTGTGGAAGAAAAGCTGAATTGGACCGTTTCCTCAGCGCTGTACTGGTCATATAATTCCACGTAAAAATACCGATTCTTTCACAGAGTTACCGTCGAGCCGAATGATGAAATCAAATGAAAGCAAATATTATATTGTTGCTGGCATAACAGTAGTTTGGTGAACAGCAGCACAGTTATTACACAGTTGTTAGACCACTTCAGAAAAATAACATGGAGGCATAAAGATTGTCAGAATTTTAAGGACCACAGCGAACCTTCTTTTACCCTGCAAATGGAAATGGCCGTATTGAGTTCCCATGTAAATTGATTAAAATGGAGAGTCTAAGTATGCGTCTGCACTATTCCCTGGCCTAGATGCACCAGCTGACTGCAACAACACAATGAAAATTTCTCTTTAGAGTAAATATGTGAAGTGTAGTCATGGTTGCCTTGGTTTTTTCTTTGTAACAAATTAGCTCCTCCTCTGCTGTGGAGCCTTTGGAAGAAAACTGTTTAGTACTTTATTTCACAAGTATAGGCAGCTGTAAGTAGAAGGGCCAAAAAAGCAAACGTTAAGCCTTACCACGTTTTGGGTAAAGCTTTTATGCTAGCCAAATTCAAGATGCAGTCTTGCTAAATCTCTGGGAGCATCTTATGGGACCAAGCATAATATCTATTTGTAAGACTTTTTCTCTACATAAATTTAAAAGCAAAGATCTCACACAGCCTTGGTTTCACACATGGAACTGAACATTTCAATGTGTCACACTAGTCCATCTCTCAAATGTCACCGGTGGCTGAGCCTGAAATGAGTCCATAAATTAATCAGATTGAGCCTCTGAGTTCCCTCTTCCACGGGATTAAACACGGGCTATAAGTTCCCCCTTTGTTCTGTCTCTCTAGAGCCACTTCAGACATCTTAAAAAAGATGATAAAATAGGAAATCACTCTTCAGTCTGCAGAGAAAGAAGATAGATTTTAACCGATGCGAATTACCCAGGAAGTGCTGATGTAATTATGAGTGCCACCTGAGCATGGTGAGATGGATCATCAAAGCTGTAGAACCATCTCCTGAAAGCAGCTAAAGCCTAACCCAGCTCCAGGGTTCAAATTGTTTTGAATTTATTTATCTTTCTTTTTTGTCACAGATGTAATTTATGCTAATCTCAGTCATCTGGAGGGAATAAACATGTTTCTAAGCGTGCAGAAGTTGCATATCTTGCCACAGAGAGTTTACCTCTTAATGCATGTGGAGGATTTGTCTCCATTCCCTGTCCTTTTGTCCTTGCATGCACTTTTTCCTTTCTTTTGTGTTTTTTTTTTTTTACGTCTCCATTCTGTTAATAATACATGAATGTCCTCTTTCCCTCCCCTCCCTCTTTCCCCCCTCTCCTCCCCTGTAGCAATTATTGAGCCCGCCACCACTAGTGCTGTCTCAAGCCCAGGTCAGTATATGTCACCATGCTGTGCACCAAATCAGCATAGAGGTCCACTTCCTCACACTAAACCCAAGCCCAATTCCTTCCCTTCCATCTTGATTTATTTCAATCGGCTGGCTGGAATGCCTGCTAGGTATACAGCTTCATTGTTGTTGTTTTACATATTTTTTTATTTGCATTTAGTTTTTCTTCTTGCTAATTTTGTTTTGGCTTCCACGGTTTGGCTACATACTGTATACCTCTGGCAGCCATAGCAACCCCCTCCCACCTTTCATTACAGCAACCCAGTCGTGTCATCAGGTGGCTGTTCCATTTCCGTTTTGGGCTTTTATTTTGCTGACGACTTTGTCTTCTTCTCTTGTGTTTTTCACCACCACTCTGCTGCAGTAGGCATCAAAGGCAAGAGTTGTTGGTGGCCACGGGCCTTGGTTTGTTGTCTGTGAGATGGAATCTCTCCTGTCCTTGTACTTCACCACTCCCCCTTCTGTCCTTTCCACCATTTCACGTCTCTTATCTTTTTCTTTTTACTCCTTCCTTTCCTTTCTTCCTTTCTTGAACAATCGATTGGCGCTTTGCCATTGTCTTTCACCTGATCTCCTCCTTGTGTTGTTGCTGTTGCTACATTTTCAATGTCACCCTTGTTTCCCCTCCTTGCTCTTTTCTACTGCTTCCACGTTCCAGCCCAAAGTAATCCCTTCTGCCTGTTCATCTTTTCTCTCTTTGTAATGGTTTTAGGCAAGCCTCAGAATGTAATCTCTCTTGCTGGTTACATTATTTTTGCTTAATACTCTTCACATGCGCAAAACAGGCAGACACTGAAAAGCTCTCTGTGGCACGGATATGTAATAAAAACTCTGTTAAGCAGTTCACGTGTAAGGATTCACGTTGCTTCATTAATTTGCAAAGTGCTCCTTTGGTTTTATTTGCTTTCTCTCTGAACCCAATATCCGTGGAGATTCTGTCAGATAACCAGCTAAAATAAGCTCAGCAACAGCAAGAGGTCCTGGCATGGCCCTGAACTTTTGTTTGATTGAACGTTTGCAGAACAAATGACGTTTCATGGTCTGAAGGAACACCAGTGGTTTCACTCGTTCTTTTTTCTCCTCAAGTTGTCTTTGAAGTTAATATTTTTTATTGTGCTCTCACTAGGTCACTTGGTGAAGGGAATTTGCTTAAATCCTCATCAGTGACTGTTCCAATCTCTGTCTTAACTTTATAGAATAGAATAGAATAAAATAGAATAGACTATTAATCCCACTGTGGGGAAATTCGCTTTCTACAGCAGCACAAACACTTAGAGAAAAGGAAGAAGAAAATTAAATGGTTACAGGTAAACACACATAGGCAGTAAGCTAGTGATGTAACCTTCAACCTCCAATAACAACAAATAAAAAGGAAACTTGTGTTTCCAGAACTATGCAGCATAACTTACACGGACATACTAATGTTCATCTGGTTTTACACAATATTGAACACATACTAAACTGAGGAGTTATACACTCTCACTGCAGAGGGGATGAATGACCTATGGTAGCGTTCTGTTTTACATCTGGGATGTCTCGGTCTGCCACTGAAGGAGCTGTCCATGGTGTCCACAGTGGAATGCAGTGGATGGGAGGGGTTTTTCAAGATGGAGGTCATATTCACTAGCATCCTCCTTTCACACATCTGCTCAACTGAATGTAGTTGGTAGCCCAGAATGGGGCAAGCTTGTTAAATTAATGATTAATATGATTTTGCACCGGGCTGCACAGTGTCACAGTGGTTAGAGCTGTTGCCTTGCAGCAAGAAGGTCCTGGTTTCGCTTTCCGGCCTGGGTTCTTTCTGCATGGAGTTTGCATGTTCTCCCTGTGCATGTGCGGGTTCTCTCCGGGTACTCCGGCTTCCTTCTACAGTCCAAAAAACATGACTGGTAGGTTGACTGGTCTCTCTAAATGTTCCTTAGGTGTGAGTGTGTGTGTGCATGATTGTTTGTCCTGTGTGTCTCTGTGTCGCCCTGTGATGGACTGGCAGTCTGTCCAGGGTGTACCCTGCCTGCTTGCCCGTTGACCGCTGGAGATAGGCACCAGCCCCCCACCCCACCCCACCCCCCGCGCGACCCTAATGGACAAGCAGGTTCAGAAAATGGATGGATGGATGGATGATTTTACACCTTCAGGTGGTTTGGGAGGATGTTGTTCCATAATAAGGTGTGATTTTCTGTCTGCAGGTTTAGTTTAAGTTTAAGGTGTAGTTTAATCAAGAAAATCTGATATATAAAATTTCTTATCCCCCACTGTGCTCCATGTTCAGTCCAGTGACAGAAACATCAAATTGTTGCAACAAATAAGAAAAGAAAAAGCCAAATAGGAAACATTAGTCATTAGTTTCTAACCACACCTGAATAAACATCCTTCTAGATGGACTAAAATTATGTGTTATGTTTATGTGATCCTGGTACATATTAGGTTGTTTGACTCATCACCTTGTGCTACACTTCCTGTCTTGTCAATATACCTTTTTTAGATGTGTCAGAGAGAAATAGTATTTACTTACAGAGCTTTAAATCTAAATCATTCTACAGAGTAAAATGCTGCTTTATTTCCTCAAGGCGCATAGAAACCAAACTGAAATGACAAAGATTAGAGAGCGTTTGACTTGTCTAGGGGAAGGACTCAGCAGAGAGCTTTGATGAAGGCTCTGAGATCTCTCGCTGTGCTGCATAAACACTTGTGACCAGCACCATGTTTGAACTGTGCGGAGGAAGAAAGCGAGGAGAAGGATGATCAGTGTTGTGAATTATTCCTCCTACCCTGTCTGTGATCAGCTGTGGCAGATGGACATTCAGCCACCAGCTCATTCTACCCAAAGAGCAAAACGAAGCACCACAGTCGCTTGTTTGTGCCCGCCACCATCAGCGGTGAACGTGACCACAGCCAGAGCCAGCTGTGCCTCCTCACCTCCGTCAACTCCCACCCAACCAGAGCTGTCACACTCACTGCTCTCTTCTCTTTGGCCCCTACATCCAGAATCAGATGCAGCGGTTCTTGTGTGCTACCTCTTTGCCATAATGAGCAGTCTGGGGAAATACACTTACTTCCTTTATTGCTAATTTGGGTAGATCAATACCACTGTCATGTCTGTTCATTAGGCGGACTATGAGATTACGGGTAGCTTAAAGAAATATGCTGTCATCAGGTGAGACGTGATTATGAAAGGAAATATTTTGGTCCAACTTCCCAAACAGCTGATGCTGTCCCTCCCATCCAACCAGTTTGGTATTGTAATCGGAGGTACAATCAAGAGTGATGCTGGGCTACTTGTGTTCTTAACTCCTGCCCCAGCAACAAAAAGCAATATAGTTGGACCTAATTATGGGCTTTGTTATGCATGGCCATATTGAGATTGTTGGTGTTTTTAAAGTGATACAGCGAGCTTTCTAATCCTATCCTGGTATTGGGTTGACACTGCAAAGTCTGAAACACCTTAAAACCCATCAACTGGCATTCTGTATCCTTTATTTAATCCATGAAAAGCTTAAAAAAGTGACAAGACGTGGTAGTAGTCAAGATCTGTCATTTTTATAAACGGCATGGCTGTCTCCTGTTCTAATCTCAACTGAACACAAAAAGCCAAGAAAATAGAGCAAACATGAATTATTTCTTCAGGATAGAAAAATATAGACTACTTTTAATGTTTATTCCAATTATTGTTCAAATGTATTTATTTCAACATTTTGTATGCTTTATTATAATACTGTTTACAGCACTAAGTAGAGCTGGATGATATAGAAAAACAAGCTTATTGATAATAATATATATCATATTGATCAATATCTATAATTTTCGAAAACTAAAATTGTGTTTTAAGTGCAGTCTTGGCCATCTGCACAGGAAGCGTACTGATGCTGTAGTAAAACAAAAAGTATAATAATTTCTTATTAATAAAACTTTGTTGCAGCACTAAAGCAGCAGAAAAATAAGATTTTGCAATAAATATGCTAAATATTTACATAGGAATTGTTTTAGAGCCTTTTTGTTGGCAGAATCTGATATTAATTTTAGTTCTTCACCTGGGGAAAAAAATGGGTCCCAACTTGGTTTGTGTGGTTTTGCCGTAGTGTGACGTAGGGCTGAGCAACAAATCGAACATTTATCGTTATAGAAATGTCTGACTCTTATCGAGATAATTTTTCCCATGTAAATCAATTTGATAACAAAACAAAAGAAAAGATGTGTGTAGGTTGGCAACATTCATGTCCCGTTAAGAAGCTGTACCGCCTTGAGTCAAGTAAAAATGTTACTCAATGTAATACATGTGACATCCCCATCCAGTGGGCAGCTTTTGTTTCTGCACATACCTGTAGTTATCGTCCATTTATCGCTATCGAGGTGAAATCCTCAATATATCATGATGTTGATTTTAGGCCATATCGCACTACCCTAATGAGACGTCATCGGTAGGCACAGATCTTCTGTCCTCTTTTTGGGAAATGGAAATATGGTCACCCAAGCTAATGCTAACATCAGCCAACTGATTCCAAATAAACCACTAAGTGAAAAGATCCACACTGTTGGACAGAAAAAAATATTACTTACAAGTTCAGTAGCAACAAAGCCAGGTCACCATCAGTTTGTGATTTTGTAGCCTCCTTTAGCTCCCTCAAACTAGTGTAGGCCCTGTCGATGTTAACTCTGATTTAGCTCTTTGCCTTGCTTCTTCTTTTTGTTTTTGATCATTTGTTAAATAGAAAAAATCTAGCCTTTAAATTAGCACTTTATAACAGCACAGTAAACAGCTATCGCCATAAAGCAGGTAGACTTCACACTAGCGTTCATACCTGCACTACAAAACTGGTATGTGCAATTTCTGATCAACAGAGTCCTGTTCAATATGAAGTTGCTCAAGTTTATGACTGAAGAATCACTGAAACCAATTAGAAAGCAATAGCATAAAGTGTTAAAAACACTTTATTGTTCTCTGAATGAAAAATGCCTTAAATCAGTGCTTCAGTCTAAAAACACAAT